CATTGATGAAGTACAAAATACTCTTGTTGCTACTGTTACGTCCAAACTCCGCGCGCATGCGGAGTTGAGGGGGTGAACGTAACGAGGAACCGAATTGTTAGACCGATTTGGTCGCGTCCGGGCTCCGGACCGCAAGGGAGCCGTGGGGAAGGACCGACGCAAATCGGGAGGCGCTTCGCTTCGTCCTTAGGCTCCTAACGAGCCGGGAGTCGAACGGAGGACGAAGCGGAATCCTCTGCTCGTGCTCCGCTAAACGGACACACGAGTCGGACGTACTTCGAGAAAGGGCCCAAACTGGGTCAGTGTGCCGAGAGGGGGCGCACTTTAACGCCAGCTGTGCCAGTACGGCCGTATGCCTTGGCTTTCGGTCATGGAACTTAATCCGAGTGACCGGGGAGAAGGCTAAGTGCAATTTCGGGCGAGCTTAAGAATACGAGGAGGGGTTTGGTTTAAATAAATTACCGGGAAGTAAGTTTTACAATGATATAATAAAAAAACTGTAGTGATACATTTTGAATAAAATATAAATATAATTTTGTCAGGTTAAAACAATTTTCGGTTTTAAATGTACACGTTTATCGATGTGTGAGAGTGTGTGTGAAGTATCATAGCAGAATGGAAAGGAGGAGTTACGGAGAGAATAGCGGGAGGATAAAAAGAGAAGGAGGTTTTGGTGAGTGGATTTGAGAGGATTTGGCCTAATTTTCCTCGGATGACGATAGTATTAGCGGACACGAACGACCGGTCGACAGGAGACGAACAATTATCGTGCGGCGACGGCGACAGATTGAAATTATAACGTGAACGCACTGCAATGTTTTCATTTTCTTATAGGAGATCAGAAGGGAGAAAGAAAGAAAGAAAAGAATAAAAATAAAATAAAACAAATGAAAAAAAAAAAAAAAAATAAAATAAAATGAAATATTGAAATAAGTTACCAAAAAAATAAAGCGAGGAGGGAGCCAGAGAATAGAAATATACGAGTACTGACTTACTACAGAGATGCTTATCGTTGGAGATCCTCCGGCCAGGATGTGCAAGGCTGGTGATGTTTCTTTAACACTGACTCTATTGAAGAAAGAGGGCTTCGAAAAACGAATAGAACTTTTTGAGTATCGCGACAAACTCACTGACTCTATCCGTACGTTCTTCTATCTAACTGCCACGCTATATGTTCTCTAAAAAGACTTTCTGTAAAACTGACTGTGAACTGGGTGTCTATATCAAAACTGACTGTGAACTGACTGTAAACTGACTGGTATCTATGTCAAAAACTGACGGTAAACTGACTCGGGGGTTGCGGAATCGCGATTTTTATACTAATCGCCGCAGATTACTCAAATTTGGATTGGTGGAATAGGTTTCGTTAGCTGGGAGTAGGATTTTCTTTCGCTCTTAGATTGGTCAAGATTTTGGGGGAGGAAAGATGTTGACAGGAATCGATAGAGTGGGAAAGCGAAACTCCAAAATTTTATGACCCTAAGATTTATGGGGAAACGTACGTTTCGGGCGCCGAAAGGTCGCGGATGCATCGTCGCCACGGGACCACCCAGAATCTACCCCTGAACGTCGCGTGCCGTTTCTTAAATTTTATAATTACGAATTCGCGAAAATCGTTCGCGACTTGATTGTTAATCTTGGCGTTAATCATTGATTTTTATCTCGGAGCGACATTCATGAGGAGATAACGGATTCTTAGTTTTTAAGATGAAAAATAAAAAGGAAAGAATATAAAATTTTAGAGCTTCGAGGAATTCGAGATCTTTATGAAAGAAAAGAGTCGCGTGAGTCCGCCGGACGTAACACTACGATGGACGATGGATATAGCATTAAGGTTAGATTAAAAGATGATTCCATTTTTGCATACGCACCACGTCGATTCGCCCATACAGAACGACTGGAAGTACGCGAAATTGTTGATGATCTTCTCAAGAGAGAGATTATCAAGTCTAGTATCTCTCCTTACTGCTAGGGTTGTACCAGTACGTAAAAAAAACAGAAAACTAAAATTTTGTGTAGATTTATGCTCCCTCAATGATCGAGTGATTAAGCAAAAATTTCTTTTTTCAATAATTGAAGATTTTTTGGCCAGACTGGGCAACAAGAAAATGTTTACCTTGATTGATTTAAAGGATGGTTTTCATTTAATTAAAATACATCCAGATTCCACTACGTATTTTTCATTCGCCAGATGGCCAGTACGAGTATCTACGATCACCCTTCGGATATTGTGAATCTCCCGCAGAATTTCAAAAGAGAGTCTATCAAATACTCCGGCCACTGATCAGAGAGGACAAGGTCTTGGTTTATATTGATCACATACTCATTCCGTCCGAATCTGTTGAGGAAAATCTGATAGTTCTTAAGTAGGCGATGTTGTTACTCAAAGAATATAGTTTGTAATCAATTTTGAAAAAAGTCAATTTCTTAAGCGGTCTATTGAATTTTTGGATTACGTGATATCCTCAGCAGGAATAATTTTAAGCGAACGACTCGTTGAAGCAATCAAACGTTTTCCCTTTCCAAAAACGTTATTGAATTATAACGGTTTTTAGGTCTCGTAAATTTTTTCCGTCGGTTATTAAGAACCTCGCCAAACTAAGGCCAAACCATTGCATTCACTGCTCAAAAAGAACGCGGAATTCAAGTTTGATAATAATTTTAAAGCATTCGAACGATTAAAATCTGATTTGCTTTAATACTCAGTATTAAGATCTTATCAGCCTCATTTGCATACTGAGCTGCATACTGATGGGAGTTCTATCGTGCTCGCTGCGATACTCTTATAAAAATAGGATTCTGGTGCGTTAGCTCCTGTGACTTACAGTCAATCCACTAACGAAGCCGAGACCAGATATCATTCTTTCGAGTTGAAGATGTTAGCCATCGTAAAGGTTACAGAACGGTTTCTCATTTATTTAGCCGAAATAAAGCCAGTTTAAAGTCATTACTGATTGTAATTCGCTCGTTCATGCTGTGAATAAAGCTAATATTAATCCATGTGTAGTTCGCTGCATCTTGCGATTACAAAACTATATATTTACAATCCAACATAGGAGTGGCCAAAAAATGACACACGTAGATGCGTTAAACAGGATAGTCGCGTCCGCAGAAATTATGCCTCTTGAGAGGGAGCTCCAGCTTAGACAACTAGCAGATCCGAATATTAATACGATCGCTCAGCATTTAGAAAAACGTACTCACCACGAGTATAATCTTATCGATGGATTAATATATAAAAAAAGAACTCGATCAAGTTAAATTTGTAATGACAAAAGGCAAGATTCATAAAATATTATACATCTACCACGAATCTACTCATTACCGAGAAAACTTTCCAAGACATTAACGCCCATTATCGGTTCCCAGCCATGTGCACTGTAAAATTAAAAGTTATGTGACGAATTGTGTGACCTGTAGCAAGCGCGTCAGCTAACCCAAAAAAAAGGCGAGTTACAGATTATTCCGACTGCAGAATACCCATTTCAGTTAATGCACACTGATCATTTTGGTCTTTTGCCTTAATCCCGTGACGGAGTAAACACATTCTACTTCTTATTGATTCATGTACGCGATTCACTTGGTTATTTCTAGTGAAATCCACTACAACACGCGAAGTGATCAAGCACTTCTTAACGTTGTTCGATAACGGAAATCCTAATGAAAGTGTATCCGATCGTGAAACTGCGTTCTTGTCAGCTGAATTTGTCGAATTTTTACGTCCTCGCGGAATTAAACATCAGATGGTCGCGATAGCATCTCCCTGGGCGAACCCATGGAATAATTGAAAGAGTTAATAGATTCTTAAAGGCCTCACTTAAGAAGGTCGTTGACGACCCCGACTGGCCCAACAAACTCGCGTCAATACAGTACGTAATTAATAATACGTATCACTCTGCAACTAAAGCGTCTCCTTCCAAATTATTGTTAGGATATGAAGAATCATTCCGATTATTAAACTCGTAGAGTTCTTGACTGAATTAGTTAAAACGGAAACTATGTAGGATCAAGATTTGTCTTGGTTAAATGAGCGAGATACCATAAACTTGCAATCGAAACTACCTATAAAATTAAAGAATATAACAAGATTACTTCGATCATAGTCACAAGGCACCAAAGAAATATAAAGCAGGAGAATACATGCGCGTTAGAGACGACCTGGGGAAAGTAAAAAATTGAAGTTAGATTTGAAGTTAGATTTCCTTACATGATCGACAAAGTGCTACCACACAATCGATACGTAGTCAAAGACAAGGTTTTAACTTTACTTCTAGGCCATACAACTCGATTGTGTCGCCCGATAGACTCCGACATGGATAAAATCAGTGATACCTATGTAAAACCTTAGCATGTCAAAATAATTTTAAGGTTGAATTTAATAGTTAATGTAAGAGTCGCATTTCTGTTAATAGCGGTTGATAAATATGTAAATGTACAGTAAGTCAAGTAAGAGTGTGGTCGAGTTCATGTTATTAGCCTTGAGATAGGTTCGAATAGTTTCATACGATATATCTAAACCTTTCTGCTTCAATTTTGCTTGTCCTTGACGCAGTGTTAAGCGAGGATTCCGCGAAAACAGATTCACTATTTTTTTATCGTCTTTTTTTGTCCACTTTGCATATTGAGCCACGTTCCGGTAAATCATCGACATTTTTTGCCACATTATATCGCTGCACTCACTTCTGTACGAATGATTTCGACTTTTTCATATATTTAGCAGCCGCTAATTGTGACATTTTTGGACCTTTCGGATGAGTGCAGAGAAATACAACGTGAAGAATACGCTTCATAGCGTGATGCGTATTTGGTACTCATGACGCTTAATGTGATTCTCTTAAGAAAGTTCAATGACAACTGAATCTTCCTTGATAGTGCATCAAGGACAAAGGTGCTCTCTATGGATTTATGATAGATTTAGGGCGATATCTTTTATTAGCTTTGAGTAAGGCCGACCACGCTCTTAACTTACTGTACATGGATTGTTGCTATGTAGACTTAAGCGTAGTAGATAAGACAAAATTACTTGTTGCGTTAATAATTAATCAATTATTTATAGCCCGTTTATTTTTTTCTCTTTCTTCTTTGTTATTGTGCTGTTTCAAATTACAAAAAAACTGCTAGCTCGGAACGAACGCTAATGCAGAAAGGGTGAGCTGTAAGCGATAACCCCACAATCCCGCCGTTTAAATTGATAAAATACTGAGCATAATATCCTTAGCTACTGCGTGGCGCAGATCTATGCCGCGCCGGTCGCGCGTCACCGTACTACCGTGATTGGGCATTCCTAACGCAAGTTCCCCGGAGCACAGAAAGAGGGGAAGGGCTCGCGCCTGGAAAAAAGAAGAAGAAACGAACGATAGCGGCAGTCTCGACTTGTATTTAGAGAATAAAATGTTCTGTGAAAGAGTAACATGCATCTAATTCTTCAACTGATTTTTTCCGAATCAAAGAGAACCATTAGTTTTACCATATCAATCGAAAGTATCAGTAATCTTACAATAAATACTCAATAATCTATACATTTATGCAAAAGTTAACGGATCTGAATGACAGTTACTTTCACAGGAGTTCCTTATCATGCCAAAAAATCGCTGAAGCCAAATTGTACATGTTCAGATTGTAATATACATAATTTAAAGATAATATATTTACAATTATTTACTTCTAGTGAATCTTGATTCATCCTAGACCATAAAGTATTCATAACCACAGTTTTCTGTCAGAAACGTATGTAGTTGTAATGCAGAAATTAAGGTCACTTTTAAATCACCATTAGTTTCTGGTGTTATAAAAAATGCGTTATTATTCCGTATGGCGACCTCCCAATCGTGAAGGTATTTAAGAAAATCTTCTAGTATCTGGAAAAAAGCAATTTAAGAAATTATGGACAAAATATATATGGAATTTTTAGAAATCACAAAATGTCCAATTAATATTTGTAAATAAGCCTACCTGCCTTTGGATAGTGCCGTTTCGCATAACAGATAACCTTGCATTCATCACGTCGATTAGCACATTCATGCGTTCTATGCGATTGCCTTCACAATCTTGTAAATTAGAAACTTGACTTTTATAGATACGCATTCTAGTTGCAACTGAATGGCTGAAAAACTGTTAAAAGAGTATACATTTCATTTTTTTAAATAATGTAATATAAATTAATAATTTTGAGTCGTGATACACACCTGAAAAGCCATTACAACATTTATTTTTTGGTATGGTTTAGGATGCACATGTGCATGTGGCAAACTTTCAACGTATAAGATTTGAAATTGTCCTTTTCAATAACAGCATCCCAATGCGCTGTATGAATGACTCCATCTGGTGTCTGAAAATATTGAAAATAAGATTATATAATATTATCAAATAATGTTATTTGATAACATTATTTAGAAATACATGTCTTTCATTTACGTATTTTTAATAACGAGTTGTCTTCAATTCTTAACGTCATGATCTTTAGCTGAACAACACGATTGCGGAAACATTTGATGAGACGAGGAAAGTCTGATACAAACCATAACTGCCTAGTATTATCTACAGGATTTTTGCAAGAACACATATGTTCATCCATGCCAAATTTCTTCCACATTGTACAATTCCATGATACCATCTGTGACTACAACATTAGCATAAAATCCTGCGTTTTCTAATAAAGCAACGCATTCTATTATCAATTTGTATAATATTGCTCCGGACGCACAACAAACACCCGAGTGTCTGAATCCATTTGCCTTGAAAAGATTGGAACATAAAAACAAGGCCATAGTCGTCTAATTCATTCGCCCTCGGTAGGAATATTCTTCTCTTAATCAGTGAATCCAATAATTTGTATATTTTTGGTATTGAATGAAATCCCTTCAGATAATTTAATTTCATCTATTAATAGTGCTCCTGAAAAATATATATAAATACAATATACAAGTATTTTCGTGCCAGCTGTATTCAATATAGCAAAAGAAAGATAATAAATATACAAAATGATATACAAAATGATATACAAAATATTTTACAAATATTATCTCTCTTTTGTTGCATACTCATGAATGCTGCTTTACTCTTCAGAATTTTGAATAGTGCCTCCTTTAAATCCAAAACCACGGGGAAAGCTGATGTAATTCAATAACTTTGGTTGAATTGGAAGGGGCAGAATATCTTTCAGGCATAGATGTTCATATAATATAAGTATGCACTTGTATATCTAGTCAGAGATGTATCGGCGACCCTATTTTCCTCCTTTTTTTACGGCTGAGAAACATTCTTAAACCGTAATTATTTGAGCCTCTGGCAAGTCTTCAATTGCTTTTGCAACAAAGGAATCTTATTTTTTGACACATTTTTTAATTGAAAATGTTAATTTTTTTTCAGTATCGCTACCCCCCTACAAATACAATAACAATACATATAGTTAAAAATACAGTTTTACATTACGACATTTATGCAGTATATGAGTATATTTACCTTATTTTTTAGACGTTTATTTTGGCGCATTAACAATTTCTTTGATCTTGTTATTTTATTTATTTTTGTCTCCAGTAATTTAAATTCCTTAATCTTGTTTCTATTTTTATTAGTACATTTCTTGCATAATATAGCTAAATTGTTCTTTTATAGATACCCATTACATCGCTACTTTATCCTGTCAGAATTAATCAAATGCTGAATGCATATTAATAATTTTCGTAACAATTGTAACAGATACTTAATTTGCACAGAGGCCAATAGTATCGCCTAACACCGTCCGAATATTACATGTACATTAAATAATTAATTTAATTGATATAAAAGTTTATATGTATAAGTTTGTATATAATTAGATTAATTATTCTTTCAATAACCTTTTCGCATCTTTGAAATTCTCGCATACTTTCATATCATGAATGAGATGAAGTATGTTGACAATATCTTTCTGTAATTCTACAGAACTCAGCACACATTTTATCCTAATCGGAATATCGTCCAGAAGCACTTGCACACTTAGATCATAATAAATTTGAAGACGTCGTAACACTTCATTTTTATCAATTGTTAAAAATGTGACAAATTTTCCATTTTTACTTTCGATGCACCCCATGAACAACTTAGAAGCGATATGTTTGAACATGTTGACACTAACATTTTAAAGTTTAATTTTTTAGGAGTATGGTTGATATCTTCTGCAATGGATGATTTTACATTTTGCTTACAATTGTCGTTTCTCTGAGGAATAACATTATCGAACAAATGCGGTATTTCTATATTTACCATATATCATCACAATCGTCACCGGTCAAATTTGCTGTATCTGCTGCAAAAGATTCATGTTCAGCATTGATCATTCCTTCCTTTCTGAATAATTCTCGGCAACTATCGGAATAGCATTTTCTTATTAATTTTGGTACTATTCTTTCAGTATGATGTACTGTACCATCACTTACAAGAAGAGGCTACGCTCTGCTCTTCATTGATTTTGATCGAACTTGCAGCGGGCTTCTCTAACATTGCTGCAAGTTTGATCAAAATTGATGAAGAGCAGAGCGTAGCCTCTCCTTGTCAGTAAAATATCGTTTGAATGAAAAATCTTCAATGCTAAAATGTTCCTCACAAACAAAACAATGTTCAGTAAGTGGCTCCTTCAACTGATCTAAATTTACAGTCCAACGATCCAACAAATTTTTATCCTAATAATAAAAAAGAATAACCATAAATGTCGCACATAACCTTACAAAATGTAATGAGTATTTTCTTATGTACTTTAAAAAGGTTTAGGTGCTTTAAAAAGACTTTTATTCTTAATTCCTATTTTTTTGGTGCATTCCAGCCCATTTCGGCAATTAAAAACAAACGCATTTTCCCATTTTCTACAATTTGCAAGGCGAGCAATGCGCAGACGCTGACGTCACAAACCGGAAAGTGTGTGTCGTCTCTGACGTTATATTGCCAATCGAAAGGGGACCACTTTTGGAAGTGGAGATTTTACTCTTTCTTAATACTCCGTTACGATAATTGTCAGTGATGCAGAATCGTCTTGTACACGGTGAAATGAAAAAAATGTATTTGTACGCAACGGAAAATTCTTAAGATACCCTTCGGATACCACAAAATATATCATAGTAAGTAATAATAAAGTAAACACTAAATTCGTTTTATAAATTTATTTATATTTTCAAAAATAATATGTTTATTATTAATATGTTTATTATTATTAAAAATTCATATAACAAATCAAACTAATTAAGACTCCTTATAAATCAAAAAACTGGAAAGGATATGGGCAGAAGATGTCGCGCAAATAATATTAGGTTAAGTAA